CAATTGAATACTAGGAAGGAGCCAAAAAAAGGAGCTAAATAACTAACAGGAAATAAAATTCCCCACTCAAGCACATCCATTAAAAAAAAACTTTCTTCGTACCTGAAAAGCTTCTAACGGCTGACCGTTGGGATAACATTGTTGCAAAAGCCTCAAATTGTGTTGAATTTAAAATCTTTCCGGAAATCATAGAAGAATTTATGATTGAAGTTCGAGAATTACATTAAGAACACAATTTGTGTCTGAGACGATTCAGACAAAGTTAATCTGACTTCAGACGCGACGTAGTTAAAAAGCGTCTCACGTTGACTTTGGGGAAAATAAAAACGTTTTTTTGGTCTCTGTTTAGAACCCTCTATAAATACAGATCGTTACAAGTTACACAAATAATAATGCGTAGAAAACTATTACGAACAGTATAAATCAATTTATCTATTAAACAAAGTAATTAGTATGGGATGACCATTTCTACACTTAAGCATTTACTCTTATAAGAGGTTCTGGTGTAATGACTCGAAATACTAAAAGTTGGAATGAAGTTAACTATTGTTGTATTCATTGAGATGACGTTCATATAAAAACAAAATTTATTTTCACACTTAAATCTAATTCTAAATTTCTAAATATTTCATTACATTAATTCAAATCCTGAACGAGACCGCTAAAATGTTCAATCAGTGCTCCAAAATCGGTCATTGGTCTATGGGGCAGATTTATTCCATAAATATTTTCATTGCGAAAATACCCTGCTTGCTTTGACCTAAACTTTTAATATGCTCACAGTAAATTCTTGATTATTTATTTAGAAATTTTGTAGTGATTCAGAGTATAAATAGTTTTTTAAATAGTTCTTAGAGAAGTATTTATCCGTTCTTCTCTTTCTTAGAGAAGTATTTATCCGATGAAATGAGATGAAATTATCAGAGAGATAATTTATCTTCAAATGAAACCATCTCCTACAAGTGAGCTTAGTTCTAAACACAAGACAACATTCTCATTTGCAGAGTTCTCAACCCACGCGCAAACGTTCCCATTTGCAGAGATCCAAGTTCTGGAACGACGGCAACGTTCCCATTTCCCGTGACCCAACTTTTTAAGCCACAGTAAAGTTCCCATTTGCCGTGACCCAAGTTCTGACCCACCCAAATGTTCCCATTTCCAATGATCCAAGTTCTAGACCTACGGCAACGTTCCCATTTCTCGCGACCCAAGTTTTCGACCTACAGCAATGTTCCCATTTGTCGAAACCCAAGTTTTCAACTCTCGGTAACGTTCCCATTTCCCGTGACCCAAGTTCTCACCCAGGCAAATGTTCCCATTTGCCGTTACCCAAGTTCTGACCCAGACAAATGTTCCCATTTCCCGTGACCCAAGTTCTGACCCAGACATATGTTCCCATTTCCCGTGACCCAAGTTCTGACCCAGACAAATGTTCCCATTTCCCGTGACCTAAGTTCTGACCCAGACAAATGTTCCCATTTCCCGTGACCCAAGTTCTGACCCAGGCAAATGTTCCCATTTGCCGTGACCCAAGTTCTGATCCACGCAAATGTTCCCATTTCCCGTGACCCAAGTTCTGACCCAGGCAAATGTTCCCATTTGCCGTGACCCAAGCTCCATCCCTTCGTGCTTCATATCGCAGTCGCGGCAGCGAGTCAACATTGGCGAGCTTGTTTGCACACGTCGGTTTCTTGAAAGTCAAGTTACAGACTTCAGTGCCCCTGTAGAGACGCCGCGGCTGCTCCTTCGTGGCCGCTAATGTTTGCTCTCAGAAACCAACGTTTGGATTTAGATCGCCGGACGGAACTAGACGAATTAAGTTTAAATATATTTCGATGGTTAACGCCAAGTAAACGAGATAAAATTCAAGTGAACGAGATTAAATTCTAATCTACGATTAGGTGGATTAAAATTATAGTGTAACAGTTATCATACCATTTCATGTAATGCGAATATTTCACACCAGGTTTCATACCCAAACAGTTTTCGAGAAGAGAACGATTTAAACCGCGTTGATTATTATCATATATAATTGTTTTAGCGGTTCGATGAATATGCTAGTACGAATTTGCCTTAGTGCCTCTGTAATTATAGAGCACAATTTAATTTTTCCTCTTGTCACTACACGAAATAGTAAAGATATTGAATTATTTAGTCTGTGCAGCATTAAAAGAAAATTTTTAGTTCTGTACGTGAAACTTATTATGTCATTGTACTTTGACCTCCAATTCTTCATTTTCACTAATCTTTATCCATTTATATTAAAAAATAATTTGTTTTAGTTAAAGTAAAGGTTTATTGAGTGCGTTGATATAAAATATTCAGTTTGATTGCAACCATACCTGAATAAGTATTGAAATTTTTAAACTTTATAATGATGTGGTTCTTTCGTAATTGCTAAAAAAATATAACTCAGTACTCATTGCAGTGAATGACAGAGAGCGCATTTTCTCGTCGACGAAAACGTGAAGTCACGGACGGACAGACAGACGGGCAAACAGACGGACGGACGGACATAACGAGCTCAATAGGGCATTTTTTCCATAAATGAGAAAGTGCGCTAAAAATAAATAAAAAATATTATGACGACTACTTGAAAGATGTCGGAAAAATCAGAGACGGTAGGTTATCGAGTGTTCCAGCAAAGTTTGCGTGCCGTACATTCATTGAATCAATAGGTTTAAAAAGTCTGGCTAAAATAATTGTTCACTACCCCGAGGACGTGCCTAATATAATTTTATTCTTCTTCGTCGTACCCGGAATGGGAAATCGATTGCTTGGAGAGATAATCGGCTTTAAAATTATTCGCAGCGCAAATTGAGTAACCGCCGAGAACAATGCGGGTGGAATGGCGGAATGCCGTCAAGAGATTAGTTTAGATTTCACTCTTGATATGAATTAGCAATTTTGATTAGTTAAAAAGCGACCATAGCTCAATATCACACATCACTATGAGATTCTGAACTTTTGGTTATCCGTTCATACTGGAGCTTTATTCACTCAATTGATGAAAACTGGTAATCATCATTCAATCCATCATTGCTGAAATTCGAGAAATTTCTACAGTAACTTATCTTCGTGACACGATTAAACATTTCTAAATGTGATATTCATTATGGTAGACTGTACGTCCACACAAAATTGAACGCATTATTAAATACATCAGATAGTTTCACTTCAAGAAATGTGAAGGTGCGTACGTAAAAAAGAAAATGAAACATTTTTGAGTGCGAGTATTTTCGTTATGATTGTTACTCTTTTTTTAAAGCATTAAGTCAGATGATAATTTTCACGGAAAATGAGAGAGAGAAGAAGAGCAAAAGGAGAAGAGTTCAGGCTTGGTTTATTGAAGGTATTGGTGAAAAATCTGCATATCGTTCGTGTTTTGTAGCCTCATAAATCTCAGGGGAACATAATAAAGCGCAGCATGAAATTTGGGTGGCAATAAAATATGCAATACCATAGTACAGCCTGCCGAAAAATTTATTGAAGAAAAAAGTAGGTAATACAGATTTATATATGTGTTCCTACCTGAGTTGAAATTTTATATCTTATATATTAATCAAATAATTATTTTTTATAATGCCTGTTATTATTTATTATCCGTTATCTAATATTAATTATTTCTTATTATTATTTATATAATTTATTTATTATTATTACTTGATTATTTTATATTACGTTTTATAATTATTAATAATATAATACAAAATAAATTTTATATTATTATTTATATATTTACGCGTTAATTTATATATATTGCTATTTGATAGAATTTAGCATTTTTAAGGGTACGGAACGTATAAACTCGATAATTTACTGACCAGAAACCACGGCTAATTTTCTAGTTAATTGCTTACGCTGAATCATTAATCCATCGACGCATTAATAAAAGGCATGACTAAAAATTCGGATAATTATTAACGAAAAATAAATCACATCCATGATCTTGCAGTTTATTTTCATTGTGGATACTTTTCCTCTGTCGCCATTTTGAAAAAAATGTTCATTGTTATGAATAATATAAGGAATATGTGTCACTATATATAGCGTTTATTAGTTTCGAAGCTGAATCCTTTATGCGTCATCATCTCACAACCCACCTCCGGGACCAAACAAAAATGAATGAAAAATGTACAGTGGATTTAAAATTTGCTGGTCGAGAAGCTCCTGCAGTAATTGTGTCCTCGGGATGAGAAGGCGCAAAGAGGATTACAAGACTAGGACGGCTTCTAACCTTCTAGATAAAGAGCGCCCCCAATATCTCTAGTCTTTTGAGACCAGGATAAACTCTTGCATCTCTTTACATTGTCAATTCTAAGCGAACATCTGCCAGAGGCATAAAACGAAACGACTCTGCATGCCATACAGATCCCACCGAGCACCGACTTGCCTTCTGGCTCAGACGGGCGCAAGAATTCTCGGGCGTTCAGTCGTTGCCATACTTGATGCTATTCTTTGGATAGCAATGCGTTCCAGTCATTGAGAAGAGCAAAGTTCAGAGCAGAGCCATCAAGAGCCACTGCATCTGACAAGATTTGTGTCGACAGTTTTTGAGATTCTAAGGACACATAGTGGAGCCGAACTATTGGAACTGCATGTCGCTCGAACGCTGTTGTGAATTAGAATGACTTGGAGACATTCTTGAAGACTTACCCGCTATATAGTGAAGTGGAAATCGATGTGACCTTAGTTTCATAGAGACGGAGGCTTCCTTCGGGAAAATCACACGGATTTTTCTAGAAACTGTCTCATATAGGGTATATATATATAATTTATCACTTCAAAACTTATCATAAAAATGTATTTCGGAAATGACGATGAAACTATTTGAAAACAATAACAATAACAAACAATTGGTACTGTTTGAAGAAATTATAAACCATCGCATGGCCAATTTTTTTCTTGATCCAGCGTTCCAAACATAAATACGTGAAAATTTTTAGTTAGAGTTATTTTTTCATCTTCATTGTTTTAAAATCGGTCAATTTTCTTTCCAGTGACGAGCTTGCCGACCAGTCCAGATCAGCGGGGCGATGCTGTCGTCGAAGATCTCCCTCAGTTCACCATCAAAAGTCAGAGACTGCAAGTGGCTGAGGGCAAGGACGTCAGAATACCTTGTTCAGTCGACAGAAAGTGTAAGAGTGAGAGTATTCTACTGCAATACTAATACCATGTTCAGTCGACAGAAAGTGTAAGAATTGATGTATTCTACTGCAATACTAATACCTTGTTCAGTCGACAGAAAGTGTAAGAATGAATGTATTCTACTGCAATACTAATACCTTGTTCAGTCGACAGAAAGTGTAAGAATGAATGTATTTTACTGCAGTACTAATACCTTATTCAGTCGACAGAAAGTGTAAGAATGAATGTATTCTACTGCAATACTAATACCTTGTTCAGTCGACAGAAAGTGTAAGAATGAATGTATTTTACTGCAGTACTAATACCTTATTCAGTCGACAGAAAGTGTAAGAATGAATGTATTCTACTACAGTACTAATACCTTGTTCAGTCGACAGAAAGTGTAAAAATGAATGTATTCTACTCAATAACTAATTTTACTGCAATACTAATTCTGATCTTTGTCTTCCATTTTAATCACAATCGAGATTCTCCTTCATTCATAAAAAACACTAGAGACAAAGTTCAATAACTTTTTACATATACGGTATATATACAATAAAATTTCACCTTATCCAAACTGACACCTTGTTTTATTTGATTGGATGAATTTGGATGAAAAATATCACTCAGCATCAATTAAAAATGTTGGTGATTTAAATCATGGTGCAGCTAAATTACTAAAAATAGAGAAAATTAATAGTAAAATATTGTGATGTAATGTTGATTATCACTGAGACGCCTTGAATATTTCTGTTGGTCGTTGTGTCGATCGGTTATATTTATCTAGAAATAAATTATGAATGCAGAGTACCTTACGCAATAATTCCCAACTCTTTCAACGAATTTCGTACAAGGACATTGCGAAAACAAAATTATGTTGTCTAGTTTTCCTTTTTACTCCAACGATTTTGTCGGTCAATGGAAGTAACATACTGTTTTGCTGGTCACATGGCTGAGTGTTCCGTAGACTTTTATACCGATGAGCTTTTTATGTGCTTTCTACTAATGATGTGCTGAGAGTGCTGAGAACTACACTGAATGTTATCGTGCAAGCATGCGACTGATGTATATCAGGTAAATGGGAAAAAATGGAGTAAACATTTTTTAATTCGAATACATTTTTATTCCAGTTTAAATTGTTATCACTCTTCATTCCTAAAATTTAGTTACATGATTTTAAATGGTCGTAGGTATATTAATTACATGTAATTTTTGTTTATTGCCACAGACGACAAGCCGATGATCATCAAGAAGGAGAAGAACGATTACAACGATGACAAGTTGATGTTCGTTGGTGGAGTTAAGCTGGTCGACGACCGCTACAAGATGGAAGACGGCGAAATGGTCATTTCGGGCGTACGGCGAGCCGATGCCGGGGCTTACCTATGCTATTACCAAGACAAGGAGGATCTTAAACTTCGGCATTTCGTGGAGGTACAGTATCCTCCAACGGTACATTCCATCACACCTCTCGTCCAAAGGGTTTCGAAAGGCTCCAGCGTTACACTGGAATGTACAGCCGAGGGCAACCCCATGCCCAAGATTCGTTGGTCTCGAGAGGGGGGCGTTATGCCCTCGGGAGAAGAGAGTGAAGAAGGCCTGAGCATGACTCTGGAGGGAGTTGACCGACACGTGGAGGGAAGGTATTCCTGTACTGCTGACAACGGCGTTGGTGAACCAGTCTCGGTTATGATGGAAGTCGCTGTCGAGTATCCACCGGAAATATTCACGGAAAAGGTGAGAGTTTCTTAAAAAAATCAATATTGAGAAGCGATTTTCTGTTACGTGAAATTTAAACTCGAAATAAGCAAAATAAAATAGTAAGAGTATTAGGGAATTAACCAAGTATTTTTGATCAGTTGTGTTTGCAAATATCTTTAGCATTAAAGTTCAGCATTCTCTATCTTTTTCAAATGAGGTTAATATTTCATTCACTCTTCATCGACCGCTAGGAGATCGTGCGCACCGGTGAAAACGACCGAGTCGAGCTGGTATGCATTGTCCACGCCCGTCCATCGGCTGAGGTGGTGTGGACAAAGGACGGTGCAAAAGTTCCTCACGAGAACAGAGCTGAAGAACATCTCGGTGGACATCGTCACCTCCTGACTCTCGATCCCGTCACCAAAGAAGACTTCGGCCTCTACCAGTGCAGGGCCAAGAACCCACTGGGAGAGTCCACGAAAGACATCGCCGTCACAGGTACTCATCATCTGTTAAGTCTCACCAATGCTGATTTTAAAATCTGTAAAGTCTCGCCAATGTAAAGTAGAATCTAGCCATCTGTAAAGTCTTGCCATGCATCTCGGATTTTAAGATGGAAGAGTCAAAGCAGCAAGAAAATTACTTTTTCTGTTAATGATATTGAAGCCAGTAAATGATTTAAAGTCATTCGGGCTAAAGAAGCTTTAAATTTACGGTTATTGAACTCAGTAATGAAAAATACATACAAATACAAAATTCATTATGTCTCCGGTTCAGAAACAAGCTAACTCATAGCCGCGTTTAGCTTATTATAAGGGACAGACACGTCTGCTTGATACAAAGCTCGATGATTGTTCCAGCGCTTGGCAATAACATGATGTGTTCGTCCAGCGTGGTCCTAATATGTATTTCATACGTGTTAGTGGTTTCACTTTCTGAGGCGTCTTCCGCGTGTGCACAGAATCTGAACAAAGAATTTTCCCGTCAAAAAATTCTTGTGAGAATAATGCTCAATAGAAAGAACAATAATTTATGAGTCTCATAACGCTTTTCATCCATTGAGCTCATAGTTTTTCTTTGTGTTCTTTATGCATATCAATATGAGTACGGATTAAACATAGAGAGTAACAATCCAGTTTTACAGTGCTATTTTGAAATCTAATAACTCCTTTTCTCTTAAAATAAACTATGCCGTCGATTCAGACGTATTACTCTTGGGTGCCAGTTTTAATTTAATTTCAATAATTTTTTCCAATTTTTTCAAACATATTGTTGTGAGTGACTACACACGAAACAAATATTAAATCAGAGATAATTGTGATAGATAATAATGTATATAAAATGGTTTTCCGAATGCAATGCTAATAACTGAATTTACATTCGTAACAGACGAGCCCAACACACCGAACTTCACAAGTAACCCCAACAGCGCCTACGAGAATTCCTACACAATCACTTGGGACACAGAGAGCTACTACCCCATCACCCAGTACAGAATAATGTACAGAAAATCACAGGTAAGATAAATACCAGTCGAAAAAAAAATTTCTTCAGGCAAATAATTATGCAGAATCGTCAGCATAATATCACAACCTTAAAATTTCAGCGAACAAATTTTGAAAAAGCCAAACCATTGTTACTCCTGGCTGAGTAAGACAAACAAATTTTGAGCCAAACAAATTTTGAATAGCCAAACCATTGTTACTTTTGTTTGAGCGCGCTCTGGAAATAGGAAGTAATTGGAATAAATTTAAAGCCAGCTTTCAAATTACCGAGAAATAATATCATTTCACCAGGCGGATGATTCTCAGGACATGATGGCAGCCGAGTGGACTGACCTGACTCAGGCCCCCGAGTCTGTCGAGACTCGTGGCATTCGACACAGTCTCCAGCACACCATCACTGACTTGCAGCCTGCCACGGACTACGAGGCCGCCGTGCAGGTCAAGAACAAGTACCAATGGGGATCTATGGCCAAGTTCAACTTCTCTACCAGAAAAGGTGAGTAGAGTAAATGAGTTACTCAATGCGTTCAATTGTGAATTTTCCTCGAGAAACTCACTTGAGCAATAGAATATGGACAAATCTTTTGAGGTGAGGAGAGTAAAAGAGTTACTCAATGCGTTCAAGTTTGAATTTTCCTCGAGAAACTCACTTGAGCATTAAAAAATTGACAAATCTTTTGAAATGAGAAAACATTTGAAAGATTTCGTCCAAAATTGTTTTGGAACCATCAGTTCAAGTACCATTATAAGACTATATATAGTCACCACAGTTCAATAAACATTTAGTATCTAGCTATTATTTGCAAGAATTTTAGTGCTTTTATGAACTTCAACTATTCCTGCAAAAATTCTACATTTTTTCAATCAATACCATTGATTTTAAAGCAAATTTTTGTGTTCATTTTTCTTTACATATTAAGAATTGTTCGGATGAAAATACGCGTTGTAAAGTTCATTGTCCATTAAAATATCGAAATTATTAGTGAAATATTGAGTTTGAAAAATGTGTAACTTGTCCATTCTTGATTGCCCATTAAGCAAAAATTTAAGCAGTTGTGTTGCTTAGTGACTAGAGTGAGATTTGCTAACTGAAAATCGATTTCCAATTACACTCTAAGCAAGCATCTGATTTGAGTCCGTCGTTCAGAAAATGTAAGCTTGAAATAATGAAAAGACAAAGTTTCAGAATTTGTTACAAATTTAGAGATACAAATAAATTTGGTAAAGCTTCAGATGAAACGTGCGTTGAGATCGGGAGTATTCGTTTACAATGATCTTCTGGTAATGTCTTCCAAATGCCGTCTGGTGACCTCGAAAAATCCAAAATTAAATCGAAATTTCGGATTTTCTGAAATTTTCCGATAAATTTTCGAAATAGGAATTTCGGACTTTATCATATTGTTGACGTAAGTTTTATCCATTTTTCACAATTCATTTCCATTTGTAGTGGCCCTGATTTCCAATGAAAATGCATGTTTTCAGACATTCTTTAATAAAGACCGAAAATTTAAAATGTACGCTCTGTAAATCAAATAATAATCATTAACCTCATTAATCAATTAATACTATTTCACTTACAGGGAGTTAATGAGCCATTAATCCTGGAATTCACAGTGGAATTAACTCGTAAAATATATTCTAAAAAAATTCTGATATGAACTTAAATTTTTACGTAACATTTTTTTAATTCCGTAGCATCCCGCCCACAATATGGCATTCCGTACTCGAAATTACTGAAGCGATGCGAGCTCATAGCGGCAAAAAGAATGTGTAATAATGATGCGCATAATTACTACGAGCGCGAAAAAGTATACAGGGGTTATAATGATGTTGTATATTTGTAAAACGAACCTGTATTTGTGCATTTGCGCTCGGATTTACAAAGCCAACTACCCAACCCATTATAAACAAAAATCAATCCAGCATTAATCCACTTAGGAAATTTAAGAGAAATCAGTATATTGTTTTTATATATTCATGTTTTAGGAGACTCCTGCACAACCAACAACATTAACGCATCAACCTAGCCCATTGCGAACAGAAATACATTAGACATTAATCCGCATAGGAATTTTAGGCAAAATCAGTATAATGTTTTCATTGATTCCTCTTTCAGAAAACTTCAGTACCATAACCAACAATATTAATACAACTACCCAGTTCATTGTAAATAAAAATACATTCCTAGTAATTTTAAGCAAATTCCGTATATATTTTTTTATAGATTTCTGTTCCAGAAAATTCCAGCACTATAACCAACAACATTAATGTTACTACCCCGCCCTTTGCGAACAAAAATACACCCGGTATTAATCGACTTAGGATTTTTAGGCAAAATCAGTATATTTTTTAATAGATTTCATGTTTCAGAAAACTCCAGCACTATAACCAACAACATTAATGTTACTTATTGCCCAGCCCATTGTAAACAATAATACATCCATCGTAGATCCACCTAGGAATTTTGAGCAAATTCCGTATATTTTTAGCGCATTTTCTCATTTATGGAAAAAATGCACTATTGTGCCCGCCATGTCCGTCTGCCCGTCTGTCCATCCGTCTGTCCGTCCGTCTGTCCTTCCGTCAGTGACCTCAAGTTTTCGTCGACGAGAAAATGCGCTCTCTGTCACTCACTGCAGTGAGTACTGAGTTATATTCTTTAATAGATTCCTGTTTCAGAAAAGTCCAGCACTATAACCAACAACATTAATGTTACTACCCCGCCCTTTGCGAACAAAAATACACCCGGTATTAATCGACTTAGGTTTTTTAGGCTAAATCAGTATATTTTTTAATAGATTCCTGTGTCAGAAAAGTCCAACACTATAACCAACAACATTACACACCATGTTTATTGCTGCAGAGGTGATGAGCTTGCAGACGAAAGCCTCGTCAGCCTGTGGAGTTGCGACGTCCCTAGCGATGCTGCTGGCGACTCTTGCCCTGCACTGCAGCGTTTGATGAACCACCTAAGACTCTTCTTTTTAAAAATTTGTCGCCTTAATTCAGTGAATACGTAAGTAACTTATTTTTAATCAGTGCTTATTTTCATGCAATAATAACTTATATTTACTCAGTGCTTATTTTCTTGCAATAATAACTTATATTTACTCAGTTTTTATTTTCATGCAATAATAACTTATATTTACTCAGTGCTTATTTTCTTGCAATAATAACTTATATTTACTCAGTGTTTATTTTCATGCAATAATAACTTATATTTACTCAGTGCTTATTTTCATGCAATAAGTTAGGTCAATTATCAATAAATATTGCGAGAGAAGAAAAATCATGTCTTCTGAGCTAATGGCTTTGAGCTATATTTTTATCTAACACAAGTACATTATTTATTGCAAAAACCTCATCATGTTTTCTCTGGTATTTTATGACGTTAGTACAATTAATGATGTACTTGTTTTAGATAAAAATATCGCTCGCAACAGACACCTAATGTCTCCAAGCTCATGAGATATTAATTGAAAGAACACTTTGATGTATTTCAGTTTCACTTTACGCATTTTAATTTCATTATTGCATGAAAGACATCAAGGTAATCGTTTAAATTTCTATTAAAACTTTTTTATCAATTCTTATCCTGTTTATGCTTTATATCTAGCATATGAAATTCCTATAACTAGTATTGATGCATTGTTACTTGTAGCCTAAATGCCAATCACTCGTATTGTATTAATTAACTCGATAATGAGTTGAATTATTTTAATTATCATTTGAACCTAATTTGGCAAGTTGGAGTTCATTTTACCGTGTATATATGTATTTCCATAAAAATTATTGTTACCAACATTACGGAACGATTAACGAAATTTTCCCTTCTTTTGGCACTGTATTAAATGAAGAACGTCATACCACAAAATCATTTTGAATTCTAACTAACATTTTGAATTTCGCTGCTTTTTTGGAATAATACAATGTTGCATCTTTTCTCCCACAGGCGAGATGTAGTTCTGAGTCTGCGAGGTTCATCTGTTTTCACATTTTGGAATTTCCGTAGATTTCTTTAACATTCCGAATTGCCCGAGTTGCCTGCACTGTGATTTGTGTGTTATTGTTCTCTGAAAATCTTCTTACGGCCAGCCAAGCGCACTGAGCTGTCACGCGCAACTGCGCTATTTCGATACCCGGACAATTGATTTGACCTACAATGATACTGGTTGTCAGTATTAAATATTAAAATAAAATTATCTCAGAGTCATTGTATTTTTGCCGAATCTTCGTCTAATTAATGTCTAGGTTAGAATAATAGTCTTCTAATTTAACCATCATGGATTCGAATCGGCACACAAATCTCTGTCTTAATTTGTAGGTAAGCATGACAATCTCAAAAGGTTTGTCACGTTCAGCATAAATTTATTGCTGTCTATATTCACTTCCTGATGGAGTGAATTGATAGAATTTACGATACTTCATACGATAACCATTGTTTTTGGGAATGAGATTTTCTAAACAGTTCGGTAAATATATCACTTACAAATAATTAATCATTTAAAGCAAGAGTTAACACGCATTTATAAATACGTTTGCAATGATTTGCTTGTGCGTTTTAACCCTGAATGAAATTTTGGAGCCCGATGCACTTTGTAATATAACTAAAAAATTGTGAATTGATGAATTGCTGTGCTGCATTGGTATTTAAATGTTCCCACTCTTTCACTTGTTGTGTTCTCGGTGTTTATTCTAAAACTCATCTTCCGTGTGCAATACTTCAGTATTCTTAGGTGTTATTAAAGACAGTGACGCAAATATGATGTGTATTCATCTTATGTGACTTACACAAGGATAAAGGTGTATTTTCAATATTATTTATTAAGAAGAGCGTCTTATAATTTGAATCTTAATATTATTAAAGCAAATAAATATTTGTCTCGTGCTAGCATTGTTTATGGACGAACTGCTGCAACTTGTCGCAACTTTTCTTCACATTTTTTTCAATACCGCTTATGTACTTAAAAAAATAATAGCTTTGAAAAAAAATAAATGCAATTTCAAATCGTTTAGTTTGAAACTATTGCTAATTAACATTTTTGCGACAAACCTTGAGCCGAACATAAATGTCCAAGATGTTTTAATGAAGTTTTTCAATGCTAGAAACGTAGAAAAAATGTTTTTCTTCAAAATTTAAGGCTATAATTTAATTTCAATTTAATAAAGACCACAGGAATAATATCAACAAACAATTCAGAAACTGCAGTAATTTTTAATTATATGTCTTAATTTTGTGAAATTTTAGCAATTGATTTGTACATTCACTGCGAAGCATCTATTCTCTGTAATGAAAATGCATTTTGAGAAGCAAAATTTACAGTCGCCGGCACGTTTCTCAACGAATTTATACACCCTATAAACTGACGATTAAACACTACATTTATGTACTATTTTTTAATAACTCATCACCTCTCAATCAAATATTTTATACGCACTTGCTTTTAGGTACAACGCCATGCAAATCCTCTAAGTTTGAAACAAACATCCTTGAGCCCGACAGATGCATTTAGCACCAACGAGCTTCGTCATATATAGTATTGTTTTTGTTCGCTAAAAAAATTCGATGCAAAATGAACTCTGAAGCTTGAGTGACAGTTTCGTTTTTTATTGCACCTTGATTTATTTATCAAACACTACGGGCTCTTTGTCCTCTGGCACTTTGGGAGTAATTAGCTTAATTGGCTTACAATCCACATAATTGGAATCCTGCTTTACAAGTTTTGTGATTTATTATTTTTTAATTTAAATCCGGTCTATAAAATTCCGCATTACGTGAATGAAGATTCAATGTGTGCTATGTGTCTACAACTATATTAGTAAATTTAGTTTCAAACGTTGCATATAATAAGGCATAACTGCTCTTATTCGCTAATATTTACTAGTCATTGATTTCTATTAGTTTGATTCCAATGTTCCTCGAAATCAATAAAATAATGATTCACTTTTAAATTATATTACAAAAGTTGTGGTACTTTGTTTCTCGTACTTGCTTAAAATACCCGGTTAATTGGTTGCAAACACTGAGGCAAATGCCTGGGTCATATTATATTAATACTGACACACTTTTCTCTCTTAGCACTGATACAGTTTTTTGCCGCGCTAAACTGTGTCTGGATGACCTACTATATAAGGGGACGAAGATTGCTTCGTTACTTCGACCAGAAGTCACTAATTTCTTTGGGTGTAAATTGAATATATAACATACCTCTGATAAACATAACATTTCTCATATGTTTGAAGATGTCATAGTCAACTGCATGTGTAAATTCTATAATCAAAACGAAAATTTAATCAATATAACTTTGTAAAAACAAGTTACTGGAGTAGCACGATTGTAAAATAATAAAGTGTAACAGCCCATTAGCAATAGTACCCGTGACCCCTTACATGTTGCTGCAATGTAGACCAATTCCAGTCTCCTCATTCAGCTACGGCAAAGCTGAATTTAACGATAATTATTTCGAAATCAGTCATGAATTTTTATACGAACCGTTAAACTAGCCTGTAATTTTGACCAGGGATTGCGCACATGTCTGCGGCCGCGCCGATGTAGAGTGATACTTGTCAGCGATATCTTTTATCTTAGTCACGAGACAAGTTGTGTTTAAAGACGCCTGAAAGTGGCAGGGAATTCACTTAAATACTTATTTGTGAGTCGTTATTTTCATTAGTTTCTTCTAAACCGACTATTAATTGAGTGGTAAATGTCTGGGAAGTTTATTTTTTGCATCTCTTGCGCTTTTTAAGAGTATTTTCTTGTGATTATGAAACAATTCATGTTTTTTTTCTGTCCATTTTATTAACACAGACGAATTTATTGTAGCTCTGGTTTTGTAGCTAATTACGACAGCCAGACTTCCCAAAAGTTTCAACTGATCAATATTGTCGGAATGATTTTTGCCAGTGGAGAGTTCGGACAATTTTTATTGTACTAAAGCTTACAAAATTTTAGTGCACATCTTAGCCCGACCTAAACTAGTATAATAGTTATCCTAGAGGCGATAGAATCTCCTCCTTTGAGAAGACGTCAGGATTTGTAAAAAGGATGTGCTTAGCGTACTCCCTACGATAAGTTTAAGGTTTTCTATGATTAGCTTAAAATAAAAATCATGATTTCACTTCTGCCTATAAATGCGGAGATCTGGATCCCTATATATATATTTTCTCTACGGTTACTGGTGTATGAGTAGAATTTGTGATGGAGGAAGTTCCTCCTGCAAACATTGTATTGTCACTTAGTTTTTTAAGACTCTTGTAAATACAAGTGATTCTGATGAACGTTTTTCCAATAAGATTCACGAGTAGATTTTTTCGCTTTAATTCTTTTTCTAAAAAGTTTAATGGCTTTGATCTATTACAAGTGCGTCCACGAATAAAATATTTCATCATAGATTCGCTCTCATAAAATTCGAAAGCAAATACTTGAGTTAACTAAAATGTGAAGCTAATACTGAAAAGATCATAAATGTCATGAAAATTTTTCCATTCCACAGAAAAAAATTGTCTTTAAGGTAATTGCATTTCTTAATCTTTAAACGTCAGATGTTCTATCATCAACTCAATTACATTGTTCTCAGTAGAAAATATTATGAACATCATTAGCATTTGTTTTCTAATTAGCTGAATCCTGAGTTGAATATACAATTGTTTTCTTCAATTTACGTAGGCAAGATGAGTTTAAAATGCACCCGAGTGGATTAAAAGTATGAGCCTAATTACGTATGGGGTAATGTCTACATTCCAGCTGATCTAAAAAGTTTCAAAAAAAAAATGTTCTATGATCATTTCGGATTGATAATAAAGAGATTATTTAAAATGCGATCTAGGTCCGCATTTTTTAAGCTGAAAAAAATAATAAGTCATGACAATAACATCAAAGAAACATATCGTAAGTGCTCGTTTTAGCGCATATAATAATTTCAAAATCAGGACCCGAGTATTTTCAGTAATTTTTAATTGGGAATTACTGATCAATATTCCGAACAGCATTTGTAATTTGTTATAGTGGACTAACTTGCGGAATGTTTCAGAAAAAGAAAATAATTTTTTTATATTCCATCAAAGTCATAATATTTATGCATGACTTAATGCATCGTTTAGGAATCTAAATGCCTTGTATTGAGACTTTGCTTCATAAACCGCGCATTTCGTTCTGCGATTCAAGCTCGAGGTAGAAATTTGTAAATGGCGTCATCCTAGTTTTTAATAATAAAGTGTGTAATTAGTCAGACCTCGTATTATTCGACCTCCGTTTAAACGCTGATCGAGCCGTATTAAATTATGTTATGCACATGTCTTCGAAAAATGTCTTCGAACTAAGCTCGCGAACATCCATCACATCACTGAAAGGTTTCTGGTGATCGTTAAATTTATTCAACAATTAAGAATATGGAAATTAAAAATTGATGTATCATACAACTGTTTTCTTCACTTTATTTTCTAATCAATATGAATCTAGTGTTCATGGATCATTATTTTAACACACTATAGGCAAACATTTAGTCATGAAAGGTTTATAGCGGAAGGCGTCCCGTTAATTTACAGAAGAAACGTGGTTTTATCAGAGAAAAAAACGGCATGTTCCATACTTCAATAAGAACTAATTTGAAACTTCGAAGATAAAAGTAATATTTTGACGGCTTAGAGTAAACATATAGAGCTGCACTCGGGAACGTATGTTTTGCTGCCAGAGCAAAATGCAATGCATGTTGCAACTTGAGCGCAACGAAGCATTTGGCCAGAATAAAATTAGAATCATGCGGGTAAGGGGGAGAACATGTTTCGCGGCCGAGATAAAAGGGTCGGAAAAGTTTAAGAAAAAAATTTCTTTCAAGTGAGGGTAAGAAAGAAATTTTCTTTCTTACCCTCACTTACCCTCACTTTTCTTTTTCTTCACTTGAAAGAAATTTTTTTCTTAAACTTTTCCGACCCTTTTATACCGGCCGCGAAACATGTTCGCCCCTTACCCGCAACTCCGGAAAGGGTGAACGAGGAACCGGCAACTGCGAGGTGCTTAACTTGCGAACGCCATATTTGCCACCGGTGCAAACTTCCTTAAATAGGCCCGGGACAACAAGTGCACCAGCTCCACTTCTCCTGGGCTCGAAAGAGTCTCTTAAAAGATGCTTCGTGCAATTGCCACTGGATAATTAGCTAGCTTCGGTATCTGGGACTGCTCTGAACTTCTTGCCTGGTAGTAACCGATAATGAGGTAAAAGTATCCTCGATTGAACATCTTCTTCATCCGGATACCATTACTGCTATCAAAATACGAATGCAATCGGCCTCATCGTGATGCATATGCCCCGTTTCTTCTTATTTCTTCTTTCTATTTTTGCTATTTTCGTTTTCCTATCTCTCACAAATTATTTGGATTCGTTAATTTTTTTCTTGCATTCACGTCAAATAATCCTAATTGACTGTTTATATAGAATGGATTTCCCGTCATATGATGAGCAAGGCTCCAAACATGGATTGTGTCCCAACGTATTACCTTATTTATATAAAGACAAAGGTATTGTCTGAGATTACGAACAACGTTCTGATTATTTTCTATGCCTAGAAAAATTAGCGTCATATATTACGTCAGTATCTGGCATTATTTCTGCTATTCAAGAATCAAGAAAAGCCAGCTAGTCTCAACACTTAGCCTGATTAGGTCTTGGTCGTATCGAGTGGTCTTCTCGAAATCAGCTGAGGGACCCTGGATCGGTAATCATCTTGATTATTGGCTTTCGACAGATAGCACGCACGTTGTCACATCTCATCATCATCATTCCCGGCAGCGAAACATAACCAATGAGATTATTATATGGAATCATATTCATCTCAATATGACCGGTGTTATTATGTTATTAAAAATGATCTCAATATTATTATTTCCTACTATTATTACAATACACTTTTTAGCGCATTTTCCCATTTATGGAAAAAAGGCGCTATAGTGCTCGCCATGTCCGTCCGTCGGTCCGTCTGTCCGTCTGTCCGTCCGTGACTTCACGTTTTCGTCGACGAGAAAATGCTCTCTCTGTCACTCACTGCAGCGAGTACTGAGTTATATTCTATAAATACTGAACACATTTAGATACATTTGGTATTGAGAAATGTCCCCGTTCTATTGTACATTCTGCAATATTCTTGATATTCTACGAATATTATGAGCCCACATCTCCATACTTGTAATCATTGTGACGAGCTGAAAGCTGAATGCAGATGCTACATAACGTCGGCCATTTGTGCCGGTCTCAGCGGCTGCAACGATGATCAAACGAAGGAGGATGCAATAACCATCATCCCAGGTCGAATGTTATGGTCAAGATGCCAGGTACGATATCGTGATTACATCACAGGCGTGTTATCGTCTGCCGTCGGTCGGCCGACGATGGTTCACTGAGGAACTCTGGGGCCATACTTCCAAACCTCGCAAAGTGAACGTAAGTACAATTACGCTCTATTTTCTTATCTATGATTGGTGGATTTGGCTTGAAAGGCCGTCAGTGATTGGCTGATGAACTTACGATCCCTTAACTTTTTTTGAAAGTATAGGCCCTAAATACCAATATATAATATTGGTTTGCTGAATGCAGGCCTATCATGATCCAGTTTTATATATAAGCCGCGTTAGTAAGGTTAAGGTATTGATTACTGATGGTTGGCCGCCCATAATTCGGTGTTAAAGTTAATTGTACGGCTCTTCGCAGATCAGACTAACATTAATCCTATAATGTACCCGGGCTGAGCGTTTTTTGTTCCTTCCTCTCCCTTGACAATGCATTCTCGCAATTAAACTAAGCCTTACTCCCACAAGGCTATGTAAAGTGAAGAAATTAAAAAAATATAACTCAGTACTCACTGCAGTGAGTGACAGAGAGCGCATTTTCTCGTCGACGAAAACTTGAGGTCACTGACAGACGGACGGACAGACAGACAGACAGATGGACGGACGGACATAGGGAGCACAATAGTGCATTTTTTCCATTAATGAGAAAATGCGCTAAAATATGTATAGATGTATATGTACCAATCAAGTGTTCAAGCATTATTTTAATGCCCACAGTTTCTCCGAACAACGAAGCTGAGTCGCAGATTTAACAAGCACTTTTATGATGCTCGCAAAAAGGATCTGTTCTCTTCCACGAAACGAATGAAAAGACGGGATGAATATTGACATTTGATTGAGTATCAAGTTAAATAAATCCAATAAAGTACGCTATTGAATTTTATACTGCCATCAATTTGAATACAATGTGTAATAATAATCTCTCAAAATGTGAAAAAATTAAAGGAATAAACACGAAAGTTTGAGCTTTGAAGAAGATGTAAAAGGTAGGAAGGAAGTGTTATTGATTAATTAGATAGCTGAAAAATTACGGAAATATTCCAATAGGTGATTCATTCCTAATCCATAATGACAGAATTATCCAATTAATGATAGTTTTTAACCAATTTGAAATGAAAAGAACTGGAATGCTGTTGTAAGGGATTATCCGTAGGGTCATATAAGTTTTAGATGAGTTAGTGAGGGAGCTTACCCCTTGTTTATGTCACTGGGATAGGAGCGCTAATGGTCGGTCGTAGGGCTATGCAAATATGAAAAGGAGCAACAGAGTAAAACGTCAAATCTTAATTAATCTTCTTACATTCCTATTTATTTACGGCTATTTTTAGCGCATTTGCTCATTTATGGAAAAATGCACTATTGTGCTCGCCATGTCCGTCTGTCTGTCTGTCTGTCCGTCTGTCCGTCCGTCCGTGACCTCAAGTTTTCGTCGACGAGAAAATGCGCTCTCGGTCACTCACTGCAGTGAGTACTGAGTTATATTTTTTTATTTTGAAGGGGAAGTATTTTTTGGGGTGGGGACTATTTTTATTTGAGGGAACAATTATTTTTTGTGGGAAAGCTTAAAAGTTCAATTACTTGAGCCTTCAGCTTGAAACTAGTCATTTTTATTGCCAATCGGGCGAAAACGACATAACTTGGAATAGATGAATTGAGTGATTGTTTTTCTGAACCTTGGTAAAATGTGGGAGAATGTCACGGACTGTTTGCCTATAGCATGGTGTTGTTGGCGCTGAAGAGAAGCCTTGTGTGGATTGTCGCCGATTCATCTGCTTTTCGTGACCTGATCACAGGAGACATAAAAACTGGACATTTGACCAGATTTTTTTAAAACTGGCGTTGGTTTGAAATGTCTACTTGTCTTCTACCAGGTCTGTAGGCTGCTAGGCATTTCAAGTCTGAACATTTATTTCTCCCTAGCTTTATCTAGTTTGTTCATGAATGCGTACAAACTCTGAGCGTCAACGACATAAATGTGGAGACAAACAACAGCTTCATCACTCATGCATCTAGGCACTCGTATGAGCGTTTGATCAGTCCAAGAAGTTTATTGGATAAATTAACTTACGTTTCAATATGCTTAACAAATTTCAATTTTTCTTTGACATAAGCTTCTAAAACTTTTTCAATTATTGTCGACTTCACAATCATCACTATCTTGTTGCAACCATGTCTTTTCATACTGTTATCATGCTGTTATCCATATGTATATCATATACTTTACACATGCATATGTCAGAATTAAAACGCAGCTTCCACGTATCAGCCCAGTCTACTAAAAATAAGTGGGGCACAATGACGTATTGTTTGGAACTGTGGCGGACTGTGGTTAGCTTAGGGCTGTAATTAAGGACGATTATGACTGTATGTGATTATGACTGCGTGATGAGGGCCGTAATTAAGGACGAAATATTCGCACCGTGAAAATAGGGTAAAAATGAACAAATTGTATTTACTGAGGCTCACAGAGATATTTTTTTATCTAAAATGTATAACTTAAGGAAGCAGAGGGTTCAAAAATACTTCTGGTGCAACTATTCTTTTAGTCATAGGATGGGTCACTATTGGTCTGAAGGCCTTGTAAAGTAAATTGGCCAATGAAATTTTTGGAAATCGGTGAGCCACTCAATGGCCGAATGCAGGTAATCAAACCTAATGCAAATTTTAATTAGACATCAATCAAGATAACCTACGTGTTTCCTCACATATCCCAAATTAGGTTCCCACTGAAACTTTGGCCTTTAATTTTCACACAACCACGCCGCTACCATCTGATCACCGACTCGCCCTCGTGACACATAGTCAATACGCTCGAGTTTTTCAAGGACGGTGAATAATCGAAGGTAATTATCCTGCCTCGGGGGCCTGAAATAAGCTATCAAGTAACTG